CACAGTAAAGTCTGTCACAGGTTCACTCACAGTAAAGTCTGTCACACGTTCACTCACAGTAAAGTCTGTCACAGGTTCACTCACAGTAAAGTCTGTCACACGTTCACGCACAGTAAAGTCTGTCACAGGTTCACTCACAGTAAAGTCTGTCACACGTTCACTCACAGTAAAGTCTGTCACACGTTCACGCACAGTAAAGTCTGTCACACGTTCAACAGAACGATGTGTGATTGGTTACATTAGGAACCTTCCTGTCTGTGTGTTTGTTGTTTCACTACAAAAATAAAACATAAATTCATCTCGTCTTCAGTCTGTGATGTTTCCACAGATTTCTGCTTCCTGATGTGTCGAATATTAAATCTGTCCGACAGCTGCTGCAGGAACTGTTTCACATATTCAGAAGATTTGGGGGTTTTTTGTTTGGTTTTTTTAGTCAGCTATTGAAAAACAGTTTTACACCCATATTGCAATGAACTGTGGGTAAATAAATAACTGAAGTCCATCAGACTGGATGAAATGTGGATTTGGAAAGAACGGTGGAAATCACAGACTTCCTGTAAACGAACCCACAAAATCACCAGGTGAAGTTTGGACATTTGGATTCAGCCAAAAACACACACAGACAAAATGAAGTAAATTCAGACAATATAAACATGATATGTTTATAAAAACAACACTGGTGACATCACAGGAAGTGTGACACCAACATTTTCTGACAGCCAATTAAAAAACAGAGTTTTATACCCTGGACAAAGCGACAGCTCTATTTTCAGTGTTTCTGTCTGAGTCTAACTCATGTGTCATATTGTAGCAAGGCAGTAACTTATAAAAGGAACAATTGAAGTCGTTTTTCAACCACACTCATGCCATAGAACCACAGCAACACACACCTCAAAGATTTTCAGATGAGTTTAACAGTGAAAATGAGCTATATGGCTTATGGAAATAAGGAACTCCAGATGGCACTCTGTCAGAAGACTCCACTCGCAAATATCCGAATGGGACTGAGCTCGAAATGCAACAATGCTGGTGTGTATTGCAAAAGCATTGTCAATCACAAAGGGGTTCAGCCTCTTAGACAGTTCCTCCAATCATCATGCAGACACTGAGCGTCCTTTCCCGCCTACTGCTCCATTAGGTCCTAGGGAAGCTGAGCCTCCCTGGAAGTGACGATTTTGTCACATTTATCCAATGAGCTTCTCACTTTGCTGCATGAAAAGAACCTGCTCAGTCATCTATGACAGGGAGGTCGCGTTTGAAAACTGGTGGTAAACAGCTGATGTTTGAACATCACAGTCATGGGGCTCTAGTTTCCCGGCGCAGCGCAGGGTGGCGAACCCCGCACAGAGCTAGTTTCGAGCAGCGCAACCCGAAGCGCACTCAGTTTGTCCGTTTGTCCGTCCTGGAAGAGGGATCCCTCCTCAGTTGCTCTTCCTGAGGTTTCTACCGTTTTTTTCCCCCGTTAAAGGGGGTTTTTTGGGGAGTTTTTCCTGATCAGCTGTGAGGGTCATAAGGACAGAGGGATGTCATATGCTGTAAAGCCCTGTGAGGCAAATTGTGATTTGTGATATTGGGCTTTATAAATAAAATTGATTGATTGATTGATTGATAGTTTGGCAGACCGAGGTGCGCTGAAATGGGTGTGGCGGCGCAGCAGGGGGAGGTGTCGACAGATCCAGCTTGGCGCAGTGACAGTTTCGTGCCAAAAGGCTTCGCCGAAGGTGCGCTAAAAGCTTGCCAACTGAAACCAGGTCTACTGTCAGCACAGGGGGAGCGCAGCCGGTGTAAGCCGAAGGTTGGCTGACCGGCGGACAGTGCGCACACGTCACCAAAACCTCACAGGCAGGTTTCCAGAATGTCAGGCACATTAACGATGCAATAAATACCCAAAAACCACTATTCAATGCAACTATCTGCAATCAGCACATAAATGTATCTCTATATCGACTGTCCCGTCACATCTGATGTCAGATCAAAGGGGATTGGCACCGTTTGGCACATTTGGCACGCGTAATGGAAACCCAACCTGATTTGATTAAACAGCTGCAAACTAATGAGTTCACATTTCTCTCAGCCAACCACAAACAGCCACAGCATCAGATAGGGAGTATATATTCAGCATCTGTCATCTTAGAAAAGTCAAAAGAAAAGAAACAGAGTGAGACTGCGAGAGAGAAAGAGAGAGCGGGCGCGCACGAGAGAAACGCAACATTGATTTACAGTTGTGGTGACCTCCTCCCAGGCTACCTTTGCATCATCAGCCCGTGAAGGTCTGCTCACAGTTCCGTATATTCAGACACTGCAAGCTTGGACCCCCCGGACCAAAACATCAGTTTCCTCCTGGGAGAAGTTTGGCCGTCTGGCGCTGCTGCTCTCTTCTGCCATGGCGAATTGAGTAAACTCTCATTACATCTTTGCGTGGCGCATTTAAGGGCGAGGAGAGGGGCTCATTTGTGTGATGTGTGTAAAACCCACTACACGCCTTCTCTCCTCCCTCTTTCCGACTTGCGCAGGTAGGAGGGACGGAGGTGGGACAGATGAGTAGCTGCGCTAGCACGCACCGTGTGCCAAACTTGCAAAATCCGCCTGGCCACACCCAGTTGGCAAAGCGCAGGTGCGCTGCGCCCCCGCCTCGCCCGGTCTGCGAAACTAGAGCCCATGATGTTAAACACGTCGTAGTGTACATTTAATGCAATGTAAATTCTTATTTTAATGTAAATTCAATAGTGCATATTTGACCATTTCTTCTATGAAATTTTAGGGGAAGTTCAGCCTCACTTGTTGTCTCAGAGCAATCGCCCCTGGTTCGTACAATCAGGAAGTGTTACGGTTTGTGTGAAGTTAGGGTTCGTACATTCAGGAAATGTTTCACTTTGTGTGAAGTTAAATTATCGGGTCAGTTTGTTTTAGAAAAGTTTTAGTGTGTGAAATTAGAGTTTGTATGTTCAGGAAGTTATGGTTTGTGTGAAGTTAGGGTTTGCACTTTCAGGAAGTGTTTCACTTTGTGTGAAGTTAAATTATCAGGTCAGTTTGTTTTAGAAAAGTTAAACATAAAATCTGTCGTCAGTCACTTTGAATATAGCATCAGTGAAATAAATGGAACATTTGATGGATGTAAAAGATGAAGACGGAAACATTTATGCTCACTGCTCTTCACGGTCGACCTGATGTACAACACCTGACCAATGACACCTGACCAACGACAACTGACCTACGACAACTGACCTACGACAACTGACCAACAAACACCTGACCAATGACACTTGACCAATGACAACTGACCTATGACAACTGACCAACAAACACCTGACCAATGACACCTGACCTACAACAACTGACCATTACACCTGACCGGCAAACACCTGACCAGTGACACTTCACCTACGACAACTGACCATTACACCTGACCAACAAACACCTGACCAATGACACCTGACCTACGACAACTGACCATGACACCTGACCAGCAAACACCTGACCAATGACACCTGACCTACGACAACTGACCGTTACACCTGACCGGCAAACACCTGACCAGTGACACTTCACCTACGACAACTGACCATTACACCTGACCAACAAACACCTGACCAATGACACCTGACCTACGACAACTGACCATGACACCTGACCAGCAAACACCTGACCAATGACACCTGACCTACGACAACTGACCAACAAACACCTGACCAATGACACCAGACCTATGACATTTGAAGGGAGACTGTGAAGAACAAGAGCAATCAGGTTCTGAGATCATTTGAACCTCAAACACATGGCACAGTGTCGTATGTTGCACAATGCTGTTTGTGATTTATGAAATTGGGTTTCAAAAATGAAATTGATTTTAACCCCAAACAGGAAGAGGAAATGACTCTTTGACCTGTGAAGATCAAACTGCGTCAGTCACTGAGAAATATGAGATGAACTTTGATTGAAGGATGTATGGAGCTCATCATTTGACCAACCTGCTGTGTGTTTCAGAGTTTGCAGATGAACAGAGGCCCTGTCCTCCATGTTGGTACGCCTTCGCCAACATCTTCCTGAAGTGGAATTGTTGTGGCTGTTGGCGGTGGGTCAAACGGGGCCTCTACATCTTCGTCATGGACCCTTTTGTCGACCTCGGCATCACCATCTGTATCGTCCTCAACACTGTCTTCATGGCAATGGAGCATTATCCAATGACAGAGGAGTTTGAGGAGCTTCTGAGCGTGGGAAATTTGGTCAGTGATGAAGAAAAGTCATTTCTGTCGACACAGTAGAACCAGTGGAGTCTACTGCGCTTTACTAACCCCACTACTGTGGTACTGTAGTACAGTATTACCACAGTAGTATAGTAGTACCACTGTGGTAATACTGTACTACTGTGGCACTTCTTCAGTTTGACCTAAGAAGGACTTCTGATCCCTGACCTGATCCCTGACCTCTGATCCTTGACCTCTGACCTCTGCCCCTGTCTCAGGTCTTCACGGGGATCTTCACAGCTGAGATGGTCCTCAAACTTCTAGCCATGGACCCATACTACTACTTCCAGGTCAGACTTCCTGTATGTTACCAGCTCAGTGATGATGACTGACAGCTGCTCCCATGGTAACATGTCTGTGACTGTTCTGTTGCCATGGTTGCAGGTAGGCTGGAACATCTTTGACAGCATCATCGTCACCATGAGTCTGGTGGAACTGGGATTGGCTAATGTTCAGGGCCTGTCTGTGCTGCGCTCCTTCCGATTGGTCAGTCTGTCATCACAATCCAATTATCTACCTGTCTCCTCACCTTTTATCCTACCTGTCTTATCACCTGTCAGGTCACCTGTGTGTCTACCTGTGTGTCCTCATCTGTCTCATGTCCAGATGCGAGTGTTCAAGCTGGCCAAGTCATGGCCAACCCTCAACATGTTGATAAAGATCATTGGGAACTCAGTGGGGGCTCTGGGGAACCTAACCCTGGTGTTGGCCATCATCGTCTTCATCTTCGCCGTCGTTGGCATGCAACTGTTCGGAAAGAACTACAAAGACTGCGTCTGTCGCATCTCACTCGACTGCGAGCTTCCTCGCTGGCACATGAACGATTTCTTCCACTCCTTCCTTGTTATCATGAGGGTCCTGTATGGAGAGTGGATTGAGCTCATGTGGGACTGCATGGAGGTCTCAGGTCAGGCCATGTGTCTGATTGTCTTCATGTTAGTCCTCGTCATTGGAAACCTGGTGGTGAGTCTCTGCAGGCACAAAGATCCTCTCTGACCTGAACCTGATCAGTGTGTCATTAATCCAGCAGAGCCCAGCAGGGCTTGGGGAGAACATAGAAACAGCAACAAAGTCTGAAACATCCAAATTCTGTTTCTGTTCTTTTTGCAGGTTCCAAATCTGTTCATGGTCTTGTTTTAGGTCCCGAACCTGCCCCTGGTCTTGTTTCAGGACCTGAACCTGCCCCTGGTCTTGTTTCAGGACCTGAACCTGCCCCTGGTCTTGTTTCAGGACCTGAACCTACCCCTGGTCTTGTTTCAGGTCCTGAACCTGTCCCTGGTCTTGTTTCAGGTCCTGAACCTGCCCCTGGTCTTGTTTCAGGTCCTGAACCCATTCCTGGTCTTGTTTCAGGTCCTGAACCCATTCCTGGCCTTGTTTCAGGTCCTGAGCCTGTTCCTGGTCTTGTTTCAGGTCCTGAACCTGTTCCTGGCCTTGTTGCTGAGCTCTTTCAGCGGTGATAATCTGGCAGCTCCAGAGGACGAAGGAGAAAACAACTTGCAGATTGCCATCAACAGGATCAGTCGAGCCGTGTCCTGGATGAAGACCTGGATTTTGGAACATATCTGGACTTTAATGGGAAAGAAGGTCCATGTTGACCCAGACCACCTGGGTAAAACCAGACCTGAAACTTTACTGACTTATTCATCTACCACTGGTTCAGATTTGTTGTTTGATGAGAAAAATTCAGATGGAATCAGAATGTGTGTGTGTGTGTGTGTGTGTGTGTGTGTCAATGTGGGTGTTTTTTCTTTCTTTTCTTTCATGTTTATGAATTTCCTGAATTTCCTCATCAGCGGTCGACAGTGACAACAAGACGAAGGAGCTTTTGGCTTTGACCTTTGTGACCTCAGACGAGCCACTGTCAGAGGTCAAGTCCCTCAGCTGTGACCGTGGCAACCTGAGCAGCAACTATCACAACATCGCCTGCCTGAGGGTCCCCATCGCCGAGGCCGAGTCTGACTTCGAGACGCCTGATGATGATGATAATGATGATGATGACGAAGATGAAGACGAGGAGGAGGAAGAAATGCACTCACAGGTAGTCTGAGACAGGTGTGACCCTGAGTCCAGACAGACACACAGACAGATGGACAGAGATACAGACACACAGACATACAGACAGACAGTCAAATGGACAGACACACAGACAGATAGACAGAGATACAGACACACAGACATACAGACACAGTCAAATGGACAGACACACAGACACATAGACAGACAAACAGACAGAGACACAGAAAGACAGACAGACACACAGACAGACAGAGACACAGACAGACACACAGACAGAGGCACAGAAAGACAGGCAGACAGACACGCAGACAGACAGACGGACAGACACGCAGAAAGACAGACAGACAGAGAGACAGACAGACATGAATACAAACCTGGATGTTAATTTAAACGTGAACCTGACGACAGGAGGTTGGTGATCTCAGTGTAAAATGTACTTCCTGTGATTGCTCAGTGTGACAAGTCGTCGGTCTGCAGCACAATACAAAAACTTCCTGAAGTTCAGGATGACGAAGACGATGAAGACTCTAATACAAACACACCTGTGGACTGCTGCAGTGAAAGTAAGGATACATACACACACACATATATTTACACACACACGTTTACACAGGTGTGTAACAGAGATCTGATCAGTGTTCAATAAAATGTCTCTGTGAATCAGTTTTTATATTTCCAGCTGCAACGCTGTGATCAATTCAATCAATAAATTTTATTTATGAAGCCCAATATCACACATCACAATTTGCCTCACAGGGCTTTACAACATACGACATCCCTCTGTCCTTATGACCCTCACAGCTGATCAGGAAAAACTCCCCAAAAAACCCTTTAACAGGGAAAAAAACGGTAGAAACCTCAGGAAGAGCAACTGAGGAGGGATCCCTCTTCCAGGACAGACAGACGTGCAATAGATGTCGTACAGAACAGATCACGCAGTGGAGCCCCAGTAGAGTCCAGTTAGTGACATGCAGTATAGCCCAGTTAGTGACAGGTAGTAGAGCCCAGTTAGAAACATGTAGTAGAGCCCAGTTAGTGACATGTAGTATAGCCCAGTTAGTGACATGTAGTAGAGTCCAGTTAGTGACATGTAGTAGAGCCCAGTTAGTGACATGTAGTAGAGCCCAGTTAGTGACATGTAGTAGAGTCCAGTTAGTGACATGTAGTAGAGCCCAGTTAGTGACATGTAGTAGAGCCCAGTTAGAAACATGTTGTAGAGTCCAGTTAGTGACATGTAGTAGAGCCCAGTTAGTGACATGCAGTAGAGCCCACTTAGTGACATGTAGTAGAGTCCAGTTAGTGACATGCAGTAGAGCCCAGTTAGTGACATGTAGTAGAGCCCAGTTAGAAACATGTTGTAGAGTCCAGTTAGTGACATGTAGTAGAGCCCAGTTAGTGACATGCAGTAGAGCCCACTTAGTGACATGTAGTAGAGTCCAGTTAGTGACATGCAGTAGAGCCCAGTTAGTGACATGTAGTAGAGCCCAGTTAGAAACATGTTGTAGAGTCCAGTTAGTGACATGTAGTAGAGCCCAGTTAGTGACATGCAGTAGAGCCCACTTAGTGACATGTAGTAGAGTCCAGTTAGTGACATGCAGTAGAGCCCAGTTAGTGACATGTAGTAGAGCCCAGTTAGAAACATGTTGTAGAGTCCAGTTAGTGACATGTAGTAGAGCCCAGTTAGTGACATGCAGTAGAGCCCACTTAGTGACATGTAGTAGAGTCCAGTTAGTGACATGCAGTAGAGCCCACTTAGTGACATGTAGTAGAGCCCAGTTAGAAACATGTTGTAGAGTCCAGTTAGTGACATGTAGTAGAGCCCAGTTAGTGACATGCAGTAGAGCCCACTTAGTGACATGTAGTAGAGTCCAGTTAGTGACATGCAGTAGAGCCCAGTTAGTGACATGTAGTAGAGCCCAGTTAGAAACATGTTGTAGAGTCCAGTTAGTGACATGTAGTAGAGCCCAGTTAGTGACATGCAGTAGAGCCCACTTAGTGACATGTAGTAGAGTCCAGTTAGTGACATGCAGTAGAGCCCACTTAGTGACATGTAGTAGAGCCCAGTTAGAAACATGTTGTAGAGTCCAGTTAGTGACATGTAGTAGAGCCCAGTTAGTGACATGCAGTAGAGCCCACTTAGTGACATGTAGTAGAGTCCAGTTAGTGACATGCAGTAGAGCCCACTTAGTGACATGTAGTAGAGCCCAGTTAGAAACATGTTGTAGAGTCCAGTTAGTGACATGTAGTAGAGCCCAGTTAGTGACATGCAGTAGAGCCCACTTAGTGACATGTAGTAGAGTCCAGTTAGTGACATGAAGTAGAGCCCACTTAGTGACATGCAGTAGAGCCCAGTTAGTGACATGAAGTAGAGCCCAGTTAGTGACATGTAGTAGAGTCCAGTTAGAAACATGTTGTAGAGTCCAGTTAGTGACATGTAGTAGAGCCCAGTTAGTGACATGCAGTAGAGCCCACTTAGTGACATGTAGTAGAGTCCAGTTAGTGACATGAAGTAGAGCCCACTTAGTGACATGCAGTAGAGCCCAGTTAGTGACATGAAGTAGAGCCCAGTTAGTGATATGTAGTAGAGCCCAGTTAGAAACATGTAGTAGAGCCCAGTTAGAAACATGTTGTAGAGTCCAGTTAGTGACATGTAGTAGTGTCCAGTTAGTGACATGTAGTAGAGCCCAGTTAGTGACATGCAGTAGAGCCCAGTTAGTGACATGCAGTAGAGCCCACTTAGTGACATGTAGTAGAGTCCAGTTAGTGACATGCAGTAGAGCCCACTTAGTGACATGTAGTAGAGTCCAGTTAGTGACATGTAGTAGAGCCCAGTTAGTGACATGTAGTAGAACCCAGTTAGAAACATGTAGTAGAGCCCAGTTAGTGACATGTAGTAGAGCCCAGTTAGAAACATGTAGTAGAGCCCAGTTAGAAACATGTTATAGAGTCCAGTTAGTGACATGTAGTAGAGTCCAGTTAGAAACATGTAGTAGAGCCCAGTTAGAAACGTCAGGGCCGGCAGCCTTCCTTGGATTCACCGCTTTGAGAACCTGCCTCACCTTATGCTGTTGAATAGTGAGGGCAGGTGTGTCAGTGACCAGGCAGGGTGGAGTGGAGGAGCTTCTGGTCTCAAAGCGGGCAAATAAGTTATTAAGCTCCTCTACCAGCAGGGCTCCATTTGTTGTTGTTACTGCCTTTTTGCTGCCTTTATTGTTGGTGAGATGTTGTAGCCCCTGCCACACTTGTCTCGGGTCGTTATCTGAGACTAAGTCCTCAATTTTGCCTTTATAGGCCAGCTTGGCACCCCTGATCCCTCTCCTCAGATCAGCCCTAGCAGTGGTGTAAAAAGCTCTGTCCCCTGACATGGGTCACTGATTCGATGTCAGCAAGAGGAAACTGTGACCTGTGTGTCTCCCAGTGTCTCTCAGTGTCTCCTAGTGTCCCTCAGTGTCCCCCAGTGTCTCCCAGTGCCTCCCAGTGTCTCCCAGTGTCTCAAAGTGTCTCACAGTGTCTCCAATTGTGTAACAGTGTCTCACGGTGTCTCACAGTGTCTCCGAGTGTCGGACGACAATGAGTGTACAGACGATGAATCATTGTGACGCTCCGTCAGTCGATCGGCAGGTTAACAACAGAAAACATCGGGTGACATGTTCAATTTCAGCTGGAGCAAGTAGATAGGCTCCGCCCCCGGCAACCCTAACAGGATAAGCAGTTATAGAAAATGAATGAAACAGGTCATTTGTACATTACGTTTTAACTTCAGCAGCTGATTGGTTCTGTATATTTCAGAGTGTTACCACCGCTGTCCATTCCTGGACATAGACACATCCCAGGGCAGAGGGAAGGTGTGGTCTAACATCAGAAGAACCTGTTTCTCCATTGTAGAACACAACTACTTTGAGACCTTCATCATCTTTATGATTCTGATGAGCAGTGGAGCTCTGGTAAATATTATTATTCAGATTATTAGTAATGATTAATGATAAGTGTCAGTTAAATATTAGGTATGATTATTGATTCAGACGTGATCAGTTTTTTTGCTGTAAGATCAGTGTTGATACTTCTTTTAATTTGATTTCTTTTTGATTAATTTTTACTTTTTCTGTGATGCTTGTTGTGACATTTATTTAAAGACAGTCTTTAATCCATCTGCTGGTTGGTTTGTTTGATCTGATCATGCGATTGAGCGAGTGAGATCTGATTTGTTCTCAGGGATGTGTGTGTACTAACTTGTGGAGACAACATGGCTGAAAGCAGGACACTAATAAACAGACCACAGGACTACTAGCATGGCTAACAGTGGACTACACATGTGGCTGACGTTCTGATTACTAACATGGCCGCCAGAGTTGACACAGGTGAGACTGTCTTTAACAAACTCAGTGCTCACTGTGACGTATCGTTTAATAATCATTAATCAACAGTGGCATCATGTCTAATAATGACTAAGTAAATAAGAACTGATGATGACCTCACACAACATAAATAACAACACAACCATGTGACCATGTGGACAGGCCTTTGAGGACATCTACCTGGAGCAGCGTCGGGTCATAAAGATGGTTCTGGAGTATGCAGACCAGGTGTTCACCTACGTGTTCGTGGTGGAGATGGTTCTCAAGTGGGTCGCCTATGGATTCAAGACCTACTTCACCAACGCCTGGTGCTGGCTGGACTTCCTTATTGTGGACGTAAGAACATGATCAATAACACTGAGAACATGATCAGTAACACTGACAACATGATCAATAACACTGACAACATGATCAGTAACACTGAGAACATGATCAATAACAGTGAGAATATGATCAATAACACTGACAACATGATCAGTAACACTGACAACATGATCAATAACAGTGAGAACATGATCAATAACACTGAGAACAGGATCAATAACACTGACAACATGATCAGTCACACTGACAACATGATCAATAACACTGACATGATCAGTAACACTGAGAACATGATCAATAACACTGAGAACAGGATCAGTAATACTGACAACATGATCAGTAACACTGAGAACATGATCAATAACACTGAGAACAGGATCAATAACACTGACAACATGATCAATAACACTGACA